TAGAACAGCATGGTAATTTGCTTTGGCTATAAAACTAGTCCTAATATGATGGGCATCCAAGATGGGTATAATAAAAACTTTCATATAAAGTGCATTGAATACTATGAGAAGTTTGATTCTTGATGATTGTTTGAGATAGGAGGATGGTGATATTTGAGTCATGCTAGGATAGTAATTGTGAACTTGAGAAATACTTGTGTTGAGGTTTGCAAGTCCCGTAGCATGCATGTATGGTAACCGTTGGGTAACAAATTTGAAGCATGAGGTGTTTCTTTGATTGTCTTCCTTATGTGTGGAGGTCGGGATCACGCGATGGTTAACTTCTATCAACCCTTCCCCTAGGAGCATGCACGTAGTGCTTGGTTTTGATGACTTGTAGATTTTTGCAATAAGTATGTGAGTTCTTTATGACTAATGTTGAGTCCATGGATTATACGCACTCTCATCCTTCCACCATTGCTAGCCTCTCTAGTACCGCGCAACTTTCACCGGTACCATAAACCCACCATTTACCTTCCTCAAAAAAGCCATCATACCTACCTATTATGGCATTTCCATAGCCATGCCGAGATATGTTTCCATGCAACTTTCCACCGTTTCGTTTATTATGACACACTTCATCATTGTCATATTGTCTTGCATGATCATGTAGTTGACATCGTATTTGTGGCAAGGCCACCATTCATAATTCATTCATACATGTCACTCTTGATTCATCGCACATCCCGGTACACCGCTGGAGGCATTCATATAGAGTCATACTTTGTTCTAAGTATCAAGTTATAATTCTTGAGTTGTAAATAAATAGAAGTGTGATGATCATCATTATCCCATGTGAGGAAATAAAAAAAAAGGCCAAAGAAGCCAATGAAAAAAAATAAGAGGCCAAAGAAGCCAAACAAAAAATGAGAGAAAAAGAGAGAAGGGGCAATGCTACTATCCTTTTTCCACACTTGTGCTTCAAAGTAGCACAATGATCTTCGTGATAAAGAGTCTCTCATTTTGTCACTTTCATATACTAGAGGGAATTTTCGTTATAGAACTTGGCTTGTATATTGATACGTCTCCAACGTATCTATAATTTTTGATTGTTCCATGCTATTATATTACCTGTTTTGGATGTTTATGGGCTTTATTTACACATCTATATCATTTTTGGGACCAACCTACTAACCGGAGGCCCGGCCCATATTGTTGTTCTTTTTTGCCTATTTCAGTATTTCGAAGAAAAGGAATATCAAATGGAGTCCAAACGGAATGAAACCTTCGGGAGCGTGATTTTTGGAAAGAACGTGATCCGGAGAACTTGGAGTGCAAGTCAAGAAGCAATCGAGGCGGCCAGGAGATAGGAGGGCGCGTCCACCCCTCCTGGGCGCGCCCCCCTGTCTCCTGGGCCCCTCGAGCGGCCACCGATGTACTTATTCCTCCTATATAAGCCTACGTGCCCCAAAAACATCCAGGGAGCCACCGAAGAAATATTTCCGCCACCATAACCTTCTGTATCCGCGAGATCCCATCTTGGAGCCGTCGTCGGTGTCCTGCCGGAGGGGGAATCCACCATAGAGGGCTTCTACATCAACACCATAGTCCTTCCGATGAGTTGTGAGTAGTTTACCACAGACCTTCGGGTCCATAGTTATTAGCTAGTTGGCTTCTTCTCTCTTTTTTTATCTCAATACAATGTTCTCCCCCTCTCTTGTGGAGATCTATTCAATGTAAACTCTTTTTGTGGTGTGTTTGTCGAGATCCGATGAATTGTGGGATTATGGTCAAGTTTATCTATGAGAAATAATTGAATATTCTCTGAATTCTTTTATGTATGATTGAGTTATGTTTGCAAGTCTCTTCGAATTATCGGTTTGGTTTGGCCTACTAGATTGATCTTTCTTGCCATGGGAGAAGTGCTTAGCTTTGGGTTCAATCTTGCGGTGTCCTTACCCAGTGAAAGAAAGGGTTGCAAGGCACGTATTGTATTGTTGCCATCGAGGATAAAAATATGGGGTTTATATCATATTGCTTGAGTTTATCCCTCTACATCATGTCATCTTTCTTAATGCGTTACTCTGTTCTTATCGACTTAATACTCTAGATGCATGCTGGATAGCGGTCGATGTGTGGAGTAATAGTAGTAGATGCAGGCAGGAGTCGGTCTACTTGTTGCGGACGTGATGCCTATATACATGATCATGCCTAGATAATCTCATAATTATTCGTTTTTCTATCAATTGCTCGGCAGTAATTTGTTCACCCACCGTAATACTTATGCTATCTTGAGAGAAGCCTCTAGTGAAACCTATGGCCCCCGGGTCTATCTTTTATCATATAAGCTTTCAATCTACTTTTATTTGCATCTTTACTTTTTGCATCTATATTATAAAATACCAAAAACATATTTATCTTATCATATTATCTCTATCAGATCTCACTTTCGCAAGTGGCCGTGAAGGGATTGATAACCCCTTTATCGGGTTGGTTGCGAGTTCTTTGTTTCTTTGTGTAGGTTCGTGGGACTTGTGAGGAGCCTCCTACTAGATTGATACCTTGGTTCTCAAAAACTGAGGGAAATACTTACGCTACTGTGTTGCATCACCCTTTCCTCTTCAAGGAAAACCAACGCAAGCTCAAGACGTAACATATATTCCAATGATGGGCTTCCTCATAATGCCCTAGGTCTTCGTGAGCAAGCAAGTTGGATTCACACCCACTTAGTTTCTTTTGTTGAGTTTTCATACATTTATAGCTCTAGTGCATCTGTTGCATGGCAATCCCTACTAACTCGCATTGATATCTATTGATGGGCATCTCCATAGCCCATTAATATGCCTAGTTGATGTGAGACCATCTTCCTTTTTTATCTTCTCCACAACCACCACTCTATTGCACCTATAGTGCTATGTCCATGGCTCACGCTCATGTATTGCGTGAAAGTTGAAAAGGTTTGAGAATACTAAAGTATGAAAAAATTGCTTGGCTGAAACCGGGGTTGTGCATGATTTGGATATTTTGTGTGACGAAGATGGAGCATAGCCAAGCTATATCATTTTGTAGGGATGAACTTTCTTTAGCCATGTTATTTTGAGAAGACATGATTGCTTTGTTAGTATGCTTGAAGTATTCTTATTTTTATGTCAATATTAAACTTTTGTCTTGAATCTTTTGGATCTGAACATTCATGCCACAACAAAGAAAATTACATTGATAATTATGTTAGGTAGAATTCCACATCAAAAATTCTGTTTTTATCATTTACCTACTCGAGGACGAGCAAGAATTAAGCTTGGGGATGCTTGATACTTCTCCAACGTATCTATAATTTTTTATTGTTCCATGCTATTATATTATCTGTTTTGGATGTTTAATGGGATTTAATATACTATTTTATATTATTTTTGGGACTAAGCTATTAACCGGAGGCCCAGTGCTAGTTTCTATTTTTTGCCTAGAGTTTTGCAGAAAAGGAATATCAAACGGAGTCCAAACGGAATGAAATCTTCGCGATGATGTTTCTTGGACCGAAAGCAAACCAGAAGACTTGGAGTTGAAGCCAGAAACACCACGAGGCGTCCACGAGGCAGGAGGGTGCGCCCAGGGGGGTAGGCACGCCCCCACCCTCGTGGGCCCCTCGTAGCTCCACTGACGTATTTTATTCACCTATATATACTCTTATACCCTAGAAACATCAGGGAGAGCCACAAAACCACTTTTCCACCGTTGCAACCTTCCATACCCATGAGATCCCACCTTGGGGCCTTTTCCAGTGATCTGTCGGAGGGGGAATCGATCGCGGAGGGCTTCTACATCAACACCATTGCCTCTCCGATGAAGTGTGAGTAGTTTACCATAGACCTTTGGGTCCATAGTTATTAGCTAGATGGCTTCTTCTCTCTCTTTGATTCTCAATACAAAGTTCTCCTCGATGTTCTTGGAGATCTATTCGATGTAATATTCTTTTGCGGTGTGTTTGTCGAGATCCGACGAATTGTGGATTTATGCTCAGATTATCTATGAATATTATTTGGTTCTTCTCTGAATTCTTATATGCATGATTTGATATCTTTTCAAGTCTCTTTGAATTATCGGTTTAGTTTGGCCTACTAGATTGATCTTTCTTGCAATGGGAGAAGTGCTTAGCTTTGGGTTCAATCTTGCGGTGTCCTTTCCCACTGACAGTAGGGGCAGCAAGGCACATATTGTATTGTTGCCATCGAGGATAAAAATATGTGGTTTATATCATATTGCTTGAGTTTATCCCTCTACATCATATCATCTTGCTTAATGCGTTACTCCATTCTTATGAACTTAATACTCTAGATGCATTCTGGATAGCGGTCGATGTGTGGAGTAATAGTAGTAGATGCAGAATCGTTTCGGTCTACTTGACACGGACGTGATGCCTATGTTCATGATCATTGCCTTAGATGTCTTCATAATTATGCGATTTTCTATCAATTGCTCGGCAGTAATTTGTTCACCCACTGCAATACATGCTATCTTGAGAGAAGCCACTAGTGAAACCTATGGCCCCCAGGTCTCTTTTCTATTATATTACATCTCTTTTCCATTATATCGCATCTCATTTACTATTTTGCAATCTTTACTTTCCAATCTATACAACAAAAATATCAAAAATATTTATTCTACTATCTCTATTAGATCTCACTTTTGCGAGTGACCATGAAGGGATTGAAAACCCCTTTATCGCGTTGGTTGCAAGGTTCTTGATTGTTTGTGCAGGTACTAGGTGACTTGTGCGTCATCTCCCACTGGATTGATATCTTGGTTCTCAAAACTGAGGGAAATACTTACGCTACTTTGCTGCATCACCCTTTCTTCTTCAAGGGAAAAACCAATGCAAGCTCAAGAGGTAGCAGTCATGTAGACAAACCAAACTAAGGCACAAAAACAGTAGCTTCCAACACAAGCTCGGTCCTACGACGAGCTGTGATCCCATATGCTTCACCCATATCAAGGTTCTTCGGGTTCCCACCATCGGGAAGCTTCTAGTCAAAGTGATAGAGAAGGCTCACAAGAGCCATCTCGATGTTTGACACTCCAAACATCATACCAGGGCACATTCTCCGTCCAGTGCCGCCAGGGAGGAATCTGAAGTCCGTACCACCATAATCAACCTTTTCATCGTCAAACCTCTTGGGCATGAACTCACTCGCATTAGTCCAGCTATTCTCGTCCCTATCGATTGCCGACACATTCACGAATACCGTGGTGCCTTGTGGAATATCATAGCCCATGACCTTTGTTTGCGTCAGTGCAAAGCCTCGGCATGAGAAACAACACCGGTGGATGCAACCTGAAGGTCTCCTTGATGACCATCTGCAGGTAGTGCAGCAGGCCATCGATGTCAGCCTCAGTCACCTCAGTCTTACCGTGGAGGACTCCTCGAACTTCAGACTGTGTGGCAGCCATTATGTGTGGGCTCCTCATCAGCTCGGACATTGCCCAAATTGTTGTTGTGGCTGTCGTCTCCGATCCCACAGCGAAAAGGTCCTGGTGACACACACGTAAATATGTGAGATTGAAATATCATGTAGCAAGCAAAAGGTGGTAGCTAGCAGGGTTTTAAATTTTAGTAAAATTTCCAAATTTCTGGTAATTATGGTGGGTAATGGAACATTTCTAACAATGAAATTTTGTGCCATATTAACTAATTTTAAGCCAAATGTTACAATAGGCAAAATTCATCTGATTTAAAATTTTCATCAAAATCCAAAAAAATCTGAAATTCCTACAAGATCCCAAAGTAATATGGTACCAACCTTTTGGTTATATCAACTGTTGCCAAAAAAATCTGCTACTGAAATTTTAAGAGAAAAGCTAACTGGTTACCGTTTGATGGGAGAGCATGGCTTTTCAAACGTTTTTCCTGGCAGTTTTAGTTGTGTCGGAGGCGACAGTGTATTTAGAAAAACGTGGCATTTTCTGGGAGGATAGCCGTTTTGAGCCTTCACTCCAGAAAATGCCATGCTCTTATGAAGAAACTTCCACCCCGGCCAACTAGAACTCCATCAAAATGTTTGCAAATGCCACCCCTCCCAGTCAATGGTCGCCAGATAAGGGGGGTCCAATTTTAAACCATGGTCTTGGGTAGCTAGTGGTGACTGGTGACTCACGAAGAGGATGTCGCTCATGTTTTCATTGGTGAGGGCGACGCCGCCAATCTCGTTGTCCCTCTGGAAACAGAGCAGAGTAGTGAGTATGTCGCCCCTCTGCTCACGGCCGACATCATTGTCCTCCTCATCCTCCATAGCTGTTCTGTGATCGCTGATCATGGCGTCCATGATGGAGTGGATTCTCCGGTGCACCTCCCACGTCGCTCTGAGAGCCTGGCCACCGATAGCCCGGGCGAGGCACGACGTCGGGAACAGGTCGATGAGGTTAAACCCGGACATGAGGTCCAGCACCTTGTCCAACTCCCGTAGGTACGCGCCCTGCTGCGTGCACCTGTCGTCGACGGACGCCCTCATGACCACATCGTTCATCATCACCTATAGCATGTCACCGACATTGACGACGCGGCCGGCGTCAGCAACGGACCACACGAGCCTCACCGCCTCCTCCTCCTGGACACGGCAGAACGACCGGACCCGCCTCGGGCTCAGCAGCTCGACGGCGCAGAGCTTTCGGATGGACTTCCAGTACCTACTGCTGTGGCGCGCAAAGGAGATGTCCTCACCGTCGTAGGTGAAGATGTGTGTGGTGGCGTACACGGGGCGGTCGGTGAAGGCGGCGTCGTGGACCTTCATGACCTCCCTGGCTGCCTCGGCGGAGGAGAGCACGAGCGTTGGGACATGGCCGAGACGGAGAAGCATGACGGGGCCGTGCCGACGAGCGAGCCTGTGCATGGCCTATTGCGGAATGGCGCCGAGCAGGAGGTGCATGTGGCCAATCACCGGAAGCACCCATGGGCCGGGAGGTAGGTTCAGGCGGCTAGCAGAGGTGGCTTGCCTGTGCTTGAGCTTAACGAGTATGGCCATGACAAGGATACAGAGCAAAGTGTAGCACACGAGCTGGGTGTGTTGGGTTTCCTCCATTGGAGCTACCTCGATCGTGGTCGTATGAGCTAAAGATTCAAGATGCGTTTATATATGAGAGAATGACAAGGAGTAAACAACGCAAGAGTCCATGTGAGATGCGGAAAGTATTTCTCTGATTGGGGATCAATTCGCCATGGATGGCAGTACAAGCTCACACACGCATGTGGTCCTGGCCGCAGCCACCAAATCCTTCCCAGATCCACACGCAACACACGCCAACGGTTATAGGCCAATGTACACCCTTAACAGGCCCAGTTCGGGCCTGCAAGCCACTGGGGAAGTTGCCGAGCACGAGTGGTCCGTGCAATCAGCCCATGAGTCGAATCATCATCTTCGCGCTCTCCTGGTTGCTCTGTTCTGGCGCTGGGCTCGCTGCCATTCCCCTCTTCTTGAGAGTCATCTTGACCCCAAGCCGGAGCTCGCGGAAACAGCTGACAAATGGAATCCCTATCTTCCCAGGTAGCTGAAGACGCGTCTCCCCCACTCCACTGGACCAGAAGTTGCGCCACCGATCTGTTGTATGAACGGCGGATACGCTCCTGCAGCACCTTGACAGGAAATTGGAGATGAGCATCGATAGAGGGGAGCGACTTGAGTACCTCATGGTGTGGCTGCACACAACGTTTCAGTTGTGAAACATGGAAAACTGGATGTATATGGCTGGCCGCTGGTAACTGCAAGCGGTAAGCCACCTCGCCAATCTTCTCCAGGATAAGAAATGAACCAAAGTACTTGAAGGCGAGTTTGTGATTAGCTTTGTGCACCACCGAGGACTGCGCATATGGTTGAAGTTTGAGAAATACCCGATCACCAACAGCAAATGTTCTTCCGGTGCGTTTCTTGTCAGCCTGGTGCTTCATTCTTTGTTGAACACGCAACAGATGCTGGCGCACCAACTGCTGAACGACTGCCCGAGCATCCAACCATTGTTGTAAATCAACGGCGTCAATGGAATCAGAAGCAGAAATTCCAAAGTACCGACGACCATGGCCATAAAGGACTTCAAATGGAGATTTGTTAAGTACCGAGTGCCAATTTGCATTGTACCAAAACTCGCAAAGTGAGATCGACCTGGCCCATTTCTTCGGATGAGCACTGATGAAACACCTCAAAAAACATTCAACCTGGTGATTAACACGTTCAGTCTGTCCATCAGTTTCAGGATGATATGTCATGCTCATATTAAGTACAGCTCATGTCCTCTTTACCAGAGATTGCCAAAATTTCCTTGTGAACATTGGATCCCTGTCAGACACTATATAGAGAGGCATGCCATGAAGCTTGTAGATATTGTCCAAGAAGAGATCAGCAATTTTTTGGGTAGTGTATGCGTGTTTGACAGGAATAAAATGGCCATATTTTGTAAACTTGTCAATGACCACCATGATGCAGTCATACTAATCAGAAGAAGGCAGCCCTGAAATGAAATCCATTTTCACAGTTTCCCAAGCTTTGGCAGGAACAGGTGATGGTAATAGAAACCCAGGGTAAGCTACTCTCTCGGGTTTTTCTTGTTGACAGATAAGGCAAGATTGCACAAACTGCTGGATCTTTTTCTTCATACCCACCCATTTAAACAGTGCACGAATTCTTTTGTAGGTGACAGGGAACCCTGAATGACCCCCCAAGGGAGTGTCATGGAAATCCTGACAAATCTTAGCATGTAGCCCATTGTCATTTCCCACCCAAATGCAACATTTATATCTCAGCACACCCTGTATCAGTTGAAAGTTATGTTTGGACTTAGGTTGCACTGACAACTGTTGCAATAATTCATGTGCTTTTGGGTCATTCTTGTAGCTTTCAACAACATCTTCAAACCAACTAGGATGAACTCCAGAAATTGCTAGCACTTGAGAATCTGATTGTGGTCTCCTGGAGAGAGCATCAGCAGCAGAATTATTAGTACCTTTCTTTATTAGTACCTTTCTTGTACACAATCTTATAATTCAGCCCCATCATCTTTGTAAGTGCCTTTTGCTGCCAAGGTGTATGTAGTCTTTGATCAGAGATATTAATCAAACTCTTTTGATCTGTCCTGATGATAAATTCCTGGAACTGTAAGTATGGTCTCCACTGCTCAGTAGCTAATAATATAACTAGATATTCCTTTTCATAAACAGATAGCTGATATGTCTCCAACGTATCTATAATTTTTGATTGTTCCATGCTATTATATTACCTGTTTTGGATGTTTAATGGGCTTTACTATGCACTTTTATATTATTTTTGGGACAACCCTATTAACCAGAGGCCTAGTCCAAATTGTTGTTTTTGCCTATTTCAGTGTTTTGCAGAAAAGGAATGTCAAATGGAGTCCAAACGGAATGAAATCTTCGGGAGAGTTATTTTTGGAACAAACACAATCCAAGAGACTTGGAGTGGACGTCAGGGAAGCAACGAGGTGGCCACAAGGGTCCAGGACACGCCCTACCCCCTGGGCGCTGCCCCACCCTCGTGGGCCCCTCGTGGTTCCCCTGACCGACTTCCTTCGCCTATATATATCCATATACCCTGAAAACATCGAGGAACACAATAGATCGGGAGTTCCGCCGCTGCAAGCCTCTGTAGCCACCAAAAGCCAATCGGGATGCACCCTGTCGGAGGGGGGATCCCTCACTGGTGGCCATCATCATCCTGACGCTCTCCATGACGAGGAGGGAGTAGTTCACCCTCGGGGCAGAGGGTATGTACCAGTAGCTATGTGTTTGATCTCTCTCTCTCTCTCTCTCTCTCTCTCTCTCTCTCTCTCTCTCGTGTTCTTGATTTGACACGATCTTGATGTATCGCGAGCTTTGCTATTATAGTTGGATCTTATGGTGTTTCTCCCCCTCTACTCTCTTGTAATGGATTGAGTTTTCCCTTTGAAGTTATCTTGTCGGATTGAGTCTTTAAGGATTTGCGAACACTTGATGTATGTCTTGCATGTGCTTATCTGTGGTGAAAATGGGATATCACGTGATCCACTTGATGTATGTTTTAGTGATCAACTTGTGAGTTCCGTTACCTCGTGAACTTATGCATAGGGGTTGGCACACGTTTTCGTCTTGGCTCTCCAGTAGAAACTTTGGGGCACTCTTTGAAGTACTTTGTGTTCGTTGAATAGATGAATCTAAGATTGTGTGATGCATATCGTATAATCATGCCCAAGGATACTTGAGGTGACATTGGAGTATCTAGGTGACATTAGGGTTTTGGTTGATTTGTGTCTTAAGGTGTTATTCTAGTATGAACTCTATGATAGATCGAACCGAAAGAATAGCTTCGTGTCATTTTACTACGGACTCTTGAATAGATCAATCAGAAAGGATAACTTTGAGGTGGTTTCATACCCTACAATAATCTTTTTGTTTGTTCTCCGCTATTAGTGCCTCTGGAGTGACTCTTTGTTGCATGTTGATGGATAGTTATATGATCCAGTTGTGTTATTATTGTTGAGAGAACTTGCAGTAGTGAAAGTATGAACCTTAGGCCTTGTTTCCTAGCATTGCAATACTGTTTGTGCTCACTTTTATCATTAGTTACCTTGTTGTTTTTATATTTTCAAATAACAAAAACCTATATCTACCATCCATATTGCACTTGTATCACCATCTCTTCGCCGAACTAGTGCACCTATACAATTTGCCATTGTATTGGGTGTGTTGGGGACACAAGTGACTCTTTGTTATTTGGTTGCAGGGTTGTTTGAGAGAGACCATCTTCATCCTACGCCTCCCACGGATTGATAAACCTTAGGTCATCCACTTGAGGGAAATTTGCTACTGTCGTACAAACTTCTGCACTTGGAGGCCCAACAACGTCTACAAGAAGAAGGTTGCGTAGTAGACATCAAGCTCTTTTCTGGCGCCGTTGTAAGGGAGGTGAGTTCTTGAAGGTATATCTTTAGATCTTGCATCGAATCTTTTTGTTTCTTGTTTTATCACTAGTTTAGTTTATAGAAGAAAACTACATAGAAAATGGAATTGAGTTTGCCTCATACGCTTCATCTTTTTAATATCTTCCGTGAGAATGATGGTAAGGAAAATTGTGCTCAAGTGCTAGAAGAAGAAGTCTATAAAATGTTTGGCACTAAATCTTTGAATGAGGATCATGATTGCAATGTTATTAGTATGAATTCTTTTAATACCCATGATGCTAATGATATGCAAAGCTACAAGCTTGGGGAAGCTATGTTTGATAAAGATGATATTTTTTTGTCCCCCAAGTTTTGATGAGCAAATTTATTATGATGAAAGCATGCCTCCTATTTATGATGATTATTGTGATGACACGTATGCTATAAAGAATAAAGATAACCATGAAACTTGTCATCATGATTTTAATTTTCAATTGGATTATGCCTCACACGATAATTATTTTGTTGTGTTTTCTCCCACTACTATTCATGAGAAGAAATTTGCTTATGTGGAGAGTAGTAAATTTTCTATGCTTGTAGATCATGAAAAGAAAGCTTTAGTGCTGGTTATATTGTGGAATTAATTCATGATGCTACTGAAAATTATTATGAGGGAGGAACACATGCTTGTAGGAATTGCAATAATATCAAGTTTCCTCTCTATGTGTTGAAAATCTTGAAGATTTGCTTGTTTTACCTTCCTATGCTAGTTGATTATTGTTCCCATAAGTTGTTTTCTCACAAAATCCCTATGCATAGGAAGTGGGTTAGACTTAAAATTGCTAGTCATATTCTTCATGATGCTCTCTTTATGTTTCAATTCTTATCTTTTATGTGAGCATCATTGAAATCATCATGCCTAGCTAGGGGCGTTAAACATTAGCGCTTGTTGGGAGGAAACCCAATTTTA